ATTGAAAACCCCTTCAGAATCGACATGTGGAGAATGTTCAAATTGCTATATTGGTTATAATTGTTGGAAACAATATGTTTACGATATCATCCGCATGATATGGATAAAATGATATTAATCAAGATAGGTGAATATGATATTTCGAATATTGTTGAAACAATATTCAACCAATATGCCGTCGAACTCAAATATACAATATTGCACAACCGCTTCAGAATCAACATGGGGACAATATTCAAATCGCGATATTGGTTATAAATGTAAGAAGCAAATTGTATACGATATCTTCCGCATGATATAGATAAAATGATATCAATCAAGATGGGTGAATATAATGTTTCAAATATTGTTAAAACAATATCCAACCGATATGCCGTTTAACTTGAAAATACAATATTGCATAACCGCTTCAGAATCGACATGGGGAGAATGTTCAAATTGCAATATTGGTTGTAAATGTCGGGAACAATATGTATACGATGTTGTTGTATCGACATTCGTAAAACAATATTATATAACATTCATAGATATGTTTTTCAACACATTGTTAACGAATTTTACAACCAATATTGCTCCATTATTGTAGCTGACAATCCATATTCAGCTCAGGTTGAACCAATATTCCACCAATATTATCATTCCAATATTGTTTGTCCAATATACTCTCATATTGGACCTATATTATTCTTCACATGTACGATATATCTATATCGGCCCAATATGAAATCGGGTTCCAGCCAATATGATGTGCTACTTGGGATATCAGTGTACTCACATACTCATGAATGTTGTGCGCTACAATCAGTGGCGTAGAAAATATGGGAGGAAAAGTTGCCACAACCCCCTATAGAGGGCACCACTGGATAAAATGTCCGGAATGACTTCCTGGTCGAAAAATTACCTATCCAAAGATGAAACCATATACCGAAGTTGAATGCATTATATTCAATTATTCTTGAGATATTGCGAAACAACTATTTTTATTTCTTAACTTTAGCGCCCTGTATCTCAAGAGCCGAACACTTGTATACCGTATGTCCCTATCTCAGTGATTATGAAATCACGAGTGCTATCACCTGTCAAGCGTTGTCGGTCGAATTTCGCAACACCCTGTTTTGCTCAATAATATAACATGTACTACTTATTCTGATGTGTAATGTGATTAATTTTCAATAAAATTGAGATGCCTTGTGAAAGCTTTGATTGATCTATTTGACAGAGATTCGAGACCGATTAGTCCTCTTATTGAATACCTTCATTAATCTAGATGTGATTCCACTTGAGACATCAACACTAAATGTGTATGTAGCATTTCTGAGACGCACAACATAATTCTTCCAGGGACGCTACGATACCAGTATAATAATCGAAAAGAACCTCACATTCATCGATGGTCTTCTAAACCTCACATTCTGATTATAATGTAACCTCAATGTGAGTCTAATTTCAACGTGAAATCTGGAGTCACATTCAGCTTACTTTTGAGTCCCATTCGACATCTAAATGTGAAGCGAAAAATGACCAAAAGCGTTGGTCCCAAATAGAGGATCTGGAGATCAATTTGTGTTTACTGGGTATTTTCTATATGGTAGCCTGATCTACCATTATACATATTCAGAGTAACGTAATACGAATATCCAGTATCCAGGTGCATTTTTTTGATTACCTATAAAAGGTAACCAATACAGGAAAGTAATTGTTGATGAAACCGCAAACGAGACAAATTGATTTTTGGTGCATTCGTGCATGGGGTGGCCCAAGCAGAACCCTAAAAGCTGCAAAGCCCTTCTGGAAATCCACAATCATTTGTTGGAATTGAAATAAAAATGATTATTAGTCGTATCGGCCACAATATACCACTATTGAGTACGTTACAATTATCTTTGATCGCGTGCACCTTTTGATAGGTTTGATTGTCGTTTGTTATTTAAACCAGCTGATGATTACCTTCCGACAGGAAATGAGGGGGATGGGGTTGAACACGTGTGCCTTGTCGATAAGCGTAATGGATATCAATGATGAAAATAAGAGAATTGAAATACATTTTTCCTATACGAGTGTGTGGAAAAGTAACTTTTCCGCACGGTTTTTTCGTTATGAAAGTCGTACTAACTTTTCCGTTCGATTCTACTTCTCGCACGATTTTTTCGGAGGTAGCCGGGTATTTTTTGTGATTGTTTTCGAATACTCACTATCATCGAGAGCTGTTCTGAAAAAAATTACAAGAGCGAAGCACAATTAGGTTCATGTTAATAATTTAATGACAATTTCAATGTTGACTTGTTAATATTGATTTTATGTTAGGTTGATGTTGAGTTAATAATGATTTGATGGTGAGTTATATTAAATATATATATTAAAGTTAAATTAAATGATAACAATAATTATTATATATTATATTATAGGGTTATTAATCCTTTTGTAGGATTATTAATCCTTTTGTGAGTTTTCCCTTGTTTATTTACCTCTTGCATTTTCTGATAGGGAAAATAAAATGTAATGTAATATTATTATGTTATGCTTACGGTAAATAAATTATACTATTATAATCATATCATCTTCATGTGATCGAATATGATTAGAAACATGATGCCTACTCAGGTCTCATAAACAGATAATTATGATACATTTATATTAAATAATTGTGGTAGTAGGAAAAATAATGAACAAAACTCTTAGAAAGTGCATTTACTGGGCTCGTTTCGCGCGAAAACCACACTAGCTATGAAATATACTATCACACTTCAACAGCACTTCGTGATCTAAAAAGCACAAATACGGCCTGTTCTAGAATACTGTTCCCACATATGAGTTTCAGCACCCAAACATACGCTGATGCTCCAGAGTACCACCCAATAGCCATTTACTTTTCAATAGATACTTTCATGGAAAATGTTCTTCAGAAATCTCTGCTATCATTTCCTCACAAGCAATATCAGTCAGACGAACTAGAAAAGCCCAGTTTAGCACATGCTTTCAACGTCAATCTGGGAATACGTCGAACAACTCTCTACCAAAACTAGTGTGACTATAGAATGACAAAGCTTTGGAATTCTTTGCCAAAGAACTTCCAATCTCTAAAAGTTGAAAAAAAGCCAATACCTCGCTCCTTATCCTCCCTAGGTATGTACAGGGTGGACCAAATTGGTCACTTTTGAAGGGAAAGTCCTTTTTCCAACTAGATAGAATAGAAAACTGATGTCTGTGCCTGAGGGTCGATTCTCATGCAAAACTCAATGGTGAAAACCGCATATCGATATCTGTCCTCGTTTCGGAGTTACAAGGTGTTCTTTGAAAATGGGCATTTTTGAAAAGTGGCTACAAATATTTGCAAGAATTGTATGTTTTCATGAAAGTAACTGCAAAGCATTGAGTTTGTAATAACAATTATTCCTGAGGCACTGAGATCGGCCTTCCTATATATCTTGTTCAAGAATATAACTTGTTCTTCTTTTTTTTTATCGCTTGGAACGCACGAAAGGGAATCCCTATGATGTTCAAAGAACATCGTGCGTTCCTAGGGAGGATAAGGGCAGGAGGTAGGTATTTGAACTTCTGGAGATTATAATATGTTGTTGGGAATACTTCCACAGGCAATGAATTCCAGAGCCTAGCCGTTCTATGGATGAAGGAGTCTTGATAAAGTGCTGTTCGACATCTTTCGAGGTTGACAACAGAAGGATGTGCTGACTAGGCTTGTCTAGTTCGTCTGATCGGTATTGCTAGTGAAGGTATGATAGCAGAGATTTCCGAAGAACATTTCCCGTGGAAGTATCGATAGAAAAGTGAAAGGTCGCCGACCTTTCTACGGTGTTCCAATGATGTCAAAGAGTGAGTCTGGATGGAATCTAAGAGCATCAGCGTATGTTTTAGTGCTGCACCCCATATGTGGGAACAGTATTCTAGAACAGGCCGTATCTGCGCTTTGTAGATAATGAGAAGCTGTTGAGGTGTGAAGTAGCTTTCCGCACGGAACAAGAATCCGAGTTTTTGTGAAGCAGCTTTTGCGATGGATCTGACATGATTATCCCATGAAAGAGTGTTGCTGATGGAAATACCGAGCATAGATATGGTGGACTTGGTGGGGATGGTGGAGCCAGACATTACAATATCGGGCATACTGAGTTCCGCCTTTCTAGAGAAAATACAGGCTTGAGTTTTGGTGGCGTTGAATTTCAACTAGGTTGTTGGTTCCCCAGGCTGTGATTTCAGCAAGATCTTCATTGACAGCATTGACCTGCCTGCGCCGTGAGTTCTTAGTTTCCTGGGAAGAAATGGGAATTCTGGAAGAAGGAAAAGTTCGAAACTAAGTATATGGTGACTGATTTCAGTGCCTGAGGATCAATTTTTATGACAAACACAATGCTTTGGTTTTTTTTTCATGGAAAGGAAGAAGTTTTGACGAAAAAATGAGAAGATAGATATCGATATGCAGTTCCCACCATCGAGTTTGTCCTGTTAATTGATCTACCAGGCACCAACATCAGTTTTTTTCGATTTAGTACGGAAATAGGACTCTCCCTTTGAAAGTGTTCAATTTTGCCCACCCTGTACACACGATGTTCTTCGAACATAATAATGATTCCCTTTCGTGCACTAAAAGAGATTGAAAAACCTCTGAAGTCTCGACACTCCTCTGTAAACACTACCAGGAGGTTGAAAGTTCATCAGATCGAATAGGTATTCCGTTATTTTGAGAAAAGAATCGAAATTTCCGGATAAATGTTCTAATTTTGAGGTAAAAGTCCAAATTTCGACAGGAAAGTCGACATTTCTATTGACTGAAAAGTCAAAAATGCCGTGGCATTCCTACTACTCCGTTTATTTCTCGATATCGTCATGAAAGCGGATTTTAGAACACCCAGTGTAATCAAATTTATAACCTTGAATGATCGATCACTCAAATATTATTATTAAAAGAATACAATAATTTGATCAACATCACGAATGGAGAATAACAAACTAATTAGGGTTATTCGAATACCTAGATTTTTAGTTTTAGTTGAGAAGACGTATGCATAAAAGTAAGTAAGATTGTAGAATAAGTAGTAATAATATAAAATCCACTGAAGGGACTTGACCGTTCATTTAGAATAAATTCTTATTGGCCTTTTTATGAAAATTAGATTAGTTATTGACTCATCCTACCTAGTCAGCCGAGAAAACAACCCCCTTTCACGGCAATATGAAGGGGTGGCAAATCGAAACAAATCTCCTGAAACATTTTTTTTTGTTCTTGTCAATATTATCGAATATTTCCCTCATATATAAAATGTCTCATGGGAGCAATGCAATTATCGAAAAATTACATCGGTAATTGCACGGCAGAGCAAAGATTGCACTGTGAAAACATACCGTCGCCATAACAACACATTTGAAACCGTATCGCTAGACAATACAAATAAATGTTAGATATATTGACTTCAAAAAGTGAAAAAAATGTCCATACAAAAAAAACATTCCTTCGAAGATTTCTTTATTCGTGGAATTCAAGCGTGTTATACAAATTACATTCGGATATTTTCCGTTGTGTTGATTAAAATTGCATATTATCAATAGAGACTGAAAATGTATTCAAGAAACGAAAAAGTCGATATGTTGTTAAAATGCAATTATAATCAACACACAAATGAAGAAGAAAAATTATTGATGCAATCGATTAACTGTCAAACACATAAAACATTTTGTGTAGGTACACCGCCTACTAAGTGAAATGATTATGAAAAAATAGACTGATAGCCCTGTGGATCATCGTATAAGACTTATAAGAGGAACAATTTCAGTTTTATTATTCCAAATGGGAAGATCATGTGATAGGTACACGGCGAAAATAAAAGACAGATAGTTTCTGTACGAGTAGCTGAATTCGAAAAAATATGTTCCTATCTTAGATTCCTCAATATCATGAGTTATTTTAGAAGGTTTTCATCTTGACTCAAACAAGCTATTGACAACCTGCAGACATTGATCAGAATATCAAAACATTTTGAATAATATCGGTTTACTAATGATCTTCAAATTTCAAAGCCTACCAAGTGTCGATATATCATCGAATTCATGTCACAGCCAACTCATTCTTTTTGAATAAAAAGCAATTCAACAGCGAATTAAGAAATAAATGCCACTTTGTGATACATGGTTGGATAGAGAATTTCAACTCAAAAAAGATAGATTAAAGAAATGTACATGGTGACATTTAAAAAAAAAAGTTGGGGTCACTTCCGGTCAAACAGGTGGTTGAAAAAAATTGTCATTAAGTTCGTAAAGTGCGCTACCATTCATTATATACCCCCTGTGAATTTCAAAATTGTATCCCTTCAAATAAAAAACTACAGGCTGCTACATGTCTCCTGTTTCACCCGGTATATTAGAAGAAAACCATAGTTTTGATGATAATTTCGAAATTCTACACGTAGAAAATAAAGGAATGAAACTCAATTATTTTGAATCATTAGAGAAATCAGCAAACTAAGAAATTTCGACAATTTACCTAACGATCAATTAGGCCTCAATAGTTCACCGCTGTTGAATTTGTTATCTTAGTATACGTAATTATATATGTATTTACCATCAACCCTTTCAAGTTAATCCGGTACACCGTATTTTAATGGTGTTCACAGGTAAGTAATCCTTCAGGTTGGGAAAGTAGGATATATAAAAGTTAGGCAAGCCAATGTTAGTTTAGTTGATTGTACCAGTATATCACCTGACGAAGCTACTGTTTTAGCGAAACATGTCGTGTGTTTGAGAATTTTGTGGAAATCTCATCGTTTGTGAAGTTTTTACATTTGCCATGGATTTCCATCACGTAACGGCCAAGTCAATTCAAAACATAATACTAGAAGAAAATGAATCAACGAATATTTGGTGAGAATGAAGTTCTCCGAGATCGAGAGAATCCATTTTATCTGGGAATGGAGGTATTAAACTGTCGTACTTGAAAGAATCATAAAATTGTGAACCTCACGATAGAAATATGTCTTCTATACTTTCGAAAAGTTTCGTTTTTTTCAACAGTCATTCCACATCATTCCTATTTCCTTGTAGAGAGACGGAATGGAAAGTAGCAACCGGAATCGGAATAGTTTCAAACGAGGCTGATATTATTTCGAACAAGCGATACGCAATATTACGATAGTAGCTATATCTGTAACGCGTAATTTTGCGTAACGATGTGATTTTACAGAACTCGCATTTCCTAATAGGTAGTTCACATAAATACAATATTTTAAATGACGTTTGGTGAATATTGGTTTTGAGGAAGACCACTGAGAGAAGAAATCCGTGCAACCTCTTTCAATCGACGAATCATGATTTACGTTTGATGTTCAATCAATATTATGAGTTAAAGTTGAAGGGAATCGAATCTATATCGTTATGAAATCAGCATATTTCATTCGATATTCCAAATAGCCAAATATTATGGTGGAGTCGTGACGTATTAGTCCCGAACTGTAGCTATCTCTCTCTGATACCTCGTCATTCTGCAGTGTTGCAGTGTGATTGGTCAGTTCAAGGACAATAGGCGTGTTGGGAATAAGACGTCGCACCAGTCACACCAATGAATTGACAAAATTGCGCAGGAATTGTGTGTTTTGAAATGGGCATATTCTAATTTATTTTTTCCATCGTCTTAGCATGAATGACAAAATTCAAAATTAATTCGCTGGTAGTTTTTCTGTATAGAGTTCACGATAATGTCATTTTAAAAAATCAGTGGTCTCCCCCATTCCTGAAGAACCGAATTAGTGGAACAGCAAGAAAATTATAGTCTCGTCTGTATTTTTAACTGTTAGACACAATCATGTGCAGTCGATTCGTGAAACAAACACTATGCGCATGCGGCAGAACTTATCCAACCGTGACATAAAAAATCGAATATATTGAAAAAAAATCAATATGTTGGGAATAATCGAATATATTGAAAAAAAATTCAACATATTGAAAAAAAAATCCAAAATATTGAAAAAAAAATCCAATATATTGAAAAAAATCCAATATGTTCGAAAAAAAAATTCAAAGTATCGAAAAAAAAATCCAACATCTTGCAAAAAAACCAATTCAAGATTCAAGTTTCTTTATTTTTACATACAAGACTTTTGTAGGTGAAATGGACAGCTGTATGATATTAAAATGACTCACTAGAGTAGACTCACGCTAGGCATTGTAGCCTGTTTTGTAATGTCTAAATCAGCAAGGCATTTGTACAAGTGTATGTCTCATGTAATGGTATTCGAATGGCATGTGCAGTATACTTATAATTTTTGTGAAAATTGATAGAGAAAGAGAGAAAAAAAATCTGATTAGGATTCAAAAGAGATTGGATAAATTGAAACACTTGGAACTTGATGTGATAAATATCTATTTCAGTTGAAGAAACTGTTTTGGGTGCTTCTGTATATAATTTTTCGCTTCTTTTTTGAAAAGTTTGAGAGATGTAATATCTTTGAGATTTTTTGGTAAAATGTTGAATATTTTAGGGCCGTAAAAAAGAAAATAATTTTGGGTGACTGTTTTATTAAAGAATTCGATTTTTAACTCTAGGTTCATTTTTGATCGAGTTTCTCTTGAATTTGTCTATGTGAAATCTGTTCGTTTATGGAAAATTCTTATCAAACAGTGATAACTGTATAGTGAATGAATATTCATCATATATTGATTTCTTGATATAACTCTCTTGTTGAAAACAGTCTATTTTTTTTAAGATGAGTTTCACTAATAGCAGTTTTAAAAGCTGCACTCCAAGCAGGAATACAATATTTTATTATAGATTCGGCAAGAGAGGTGTAAAGTATGAGAAGATTTTTTTTGGATAGTATATCACGTCCATATATTGGATTTATTTTCCAATATACTTATTAGATTTTTTTTCAATATATTAGAAATATTTTCAATATATTGGATTTTTTTCCAATATATTGAACTTTTTTTCAATATATTGGATTTTTCTTCCAATATACAGTCTGTCCAAGATAAGGTTGAACAGCATGGGGATCTCGGAAACGGTAGGAGATACGAAGTCCCTTAAATGGGGAAAAAGTTGCGCATTCGGAGGCTCATATCAAGAGCCGTCGAAAATTTTGAAAATTATTTTTAGTTTTTGAGTTATATCGCAAAAAGTAAATTTTTGGAATTTTTATTTTATTGTTTTTCTCCGTTATTATTAGAGATACAGAAAAACTGAAAATACTTTTCTATAGCAACTCTTGATGACGTTTAACGTGGTGATACCGATTTTTTTATGCGACGTTTCGTATTCGTGGAACCATCATCAACTTTTGTTTTTAAAATACGATCCTGATAATTTTTCCACAGATTCTGAATGGTTTTTTTATTCTGAATTCAACCATGTATTATACAAAGTGTTTTATGTGTGTTTCGACCTATTTTCAGCCATCATCAATGTTTTTTTGAAATTCCAAAGAAAAATCAGTTTCACTTATTTTGAAGGAAAATTAGTCAACACACTAATACCTCATCAACTGGTTTCAATCAACAACCCATTTCATTTTGCGGAAACAAAAATTCCGTCCATAAAAATTCAGAATATGTCAAGCGCTAAAACCAGGCGATGACGAAAGGCGCAGGACATTCTGTGAGTGGTGCAACAGGAAATGTTAAAATTTTGCAGATTTCTTTCGAACAATCATCTGGACTGATGAAAGCATGGTCACTAATTATGGTAGCTTCGAATAAAAAAATACACATTATTGTTCACGAGAAAATGAACATTTATACATTACAGCGAAACACCAACACCGGCAATATTTGGTACACGAATTATTGTTCCTTCTATTTACCATGAAACAGACTTCCGAACGTTATAGAAATTCGCTTGAGAATCATTTTGAGGAAGCTCTGGATGATTTACCGATTGCGGAAGTTCAGAACTGTTGGTTTCAACAAGATGGCGCTCCGGTACATAATTCCAGAGAAGTCCGTGCGTTCTTATCCCTTGGCCGGCGCGGTCGCCTGATTTGACACAGCTGGATTTTTTCTTAGGGGATATATCGAACTTTGTACACGCAAATAACTTTGATGATGAAGAAGAACTAAGGGACAGTGTCTTCGAAGCATTCAATAGAATAACCCCAGAAATGCTTAACAATGTCTTAGAAGCAACTATGAGAAGAGCATATCTTTGTTCAGAAAATAATGGTTATCATTTTGAACATTTGTTATGAATGTCTGTGTAGGTATTGTCAAAGTTGAGTTGTTAAAGTAATTCGTGCAAGAATTCATCAACAATTTTAAACGCTGCATTGATGGAATGATGTAGTGAAATATTTTTTATTAACTTCTCAGAATTGAATAACTAATCCATCAGGTTTGACACTAAATGATCAGAAATAAGTAGAACTGATGGCTTTTTTCCTTTGGAAGTTCGAAAAAACATTGATGATGGATAAAAATAGGTCGAAACACATTCGAATCACCTTGTATGTACATGGTTGAATTCAGAATAAAAAAACCTTTCAGAATCTGTGAAAAAATTATCAGGACTCAGGACAGGCTCTTGATATGAGCCTCCGAATGCGCAACTTTCTCCCCATTCAAGGGACTTCGTATCTCCTACCGTTTCCGAGATCCCCATGCTGTTCAACCTTATCTTGGACAGACTGTATTGGATTTATTTAAAAAAAAATTATTATAATTGTGTGACCCCTAGACGCTTTCGTACATTTAGGCCCTTTCTAATCTCCACTCTTCAATTATTCAAGAAGCAGACAAATTTGCCATCACGACAAGGGGAAGAAAGAAGTAAGAAGTCGAAATCTTGGCACCACCCACAAATCCAAATCCAAATCCCAAAACAGACGATATTGACGGCAGGACAAGTTCAGTCATTTGGAGTCGAGTCTATCTCGAGTCGTCCCGTCTTCAGACGGCGGTAGTTGAGTTGTTAAGTGCATTTTGAGTACTTTGTAGATTGATTCTTCATGTTATTGCGGCAGATACGGATTCAGAAATAGACGCAGTTCGGTGAAAGATATGAGGGGCTTTAGCTGGAAATTCGTGTGTTCTGGAGGGATTCTGACGATTTTCTGTCTACTAGAAGGTAAGCTTCTTTTTATTCTTCCTAATAAAAAAACCCTCATTTTTTCTGTGACGGGAAAAAAGTTTGGCATTTCATCTCTGTTGGCAGGTTATAAAATGTCACTTTTCATAAATTACTTTTTTCCCGTGGGAAAAAAGTGAGCACTTTTTTCCCGGATATATATCACATATATATATACTCTGTTAATGGCTTTTGTTGTGCTATAGTTCCGAAAAATGAGTCAATAATACCGTCTCCGAGAAAGAACTGCAAGTCATTTTATCTTCCATTCGACTTCGCGGTTTCGTATATTACTAAAAAACTACTGAATTCGCAATTTTTCAAAATCAAATCACAGAATTGAACTGACAGAAGTGACATCAGATATTTGATTACTTCAAAAGAATGATAAAGATGTTTATAAAACGCAGGTGTCCCTACTGTTAAAAACTTGAAATTTGACGTCGATAATTTTAAGATTTCGAAATAATGTAATATCTCCTCAATGTTGATTCGTCGTTCCTTCTGCCACAGAAAAAAATAGTGTATTATACACCGGAAAAATATTAGATTTTAGCTCACGGTTTTTTGTCTCCCTCCGCTACGCGTCGGGAGACAACACAACCTGGAGCTAAAATCTACTACTTTTTTCCCTTGTATAATAAATAACTATTTCTGCAAAAGTTTTTCCCCTCCTTCAGAATGTGTATATACAGGGTGTCCCTCCGGGAACTGCATCGATCAATATAAAGAAAACCATAGGTGGGCTAAATTTGAAAATTTTGGAGTTCACTATTGTTCATAAGTGCTATCCGGCTAAAATATTTTGAAGATTGTGGCACTTCCGGTTATGCCGGAAGTGGACCCCAACTTCGTTATTTTAAATGGGACACCCTGTATATTATCAAGGTTTCAGATTTTACACATGATTCTGAGCATGTTTCATGTATAATGTCCTATACCCATGTCTAACCGTATAAAACCGTCTAAAAGTATTTTTCGGTCTGCAAACGAAATTTTCAACATAAATTTTTTTTCGAAAACGGGTGGCCCATTCAAAATAACGAAGTTGGGGTCTACTTCCGGCATAACCGGATCTTCAAAATATTTTAGCCGGATAGCACTTATCAATCAATAGTGAACTCCGAGATTTTCGAATTTGGCCCATCTATGGTTTTCTATATATTGATCGATGCAGTTCCCGGAGGGACACCCCCTGTATTAAAGGGTTATAGAAAATGAAAAAACAAGACGGAATGGAAGAAGAGCTCACGTTTTTTTCAACCGTAAAAACGCAATAGATTTTTTATGGCATTAATTTCTCTTCCTAGTGAAAACAAATTAACCAATCAGAAATTGGCATAAAAAACTGCGAGACTATTAATCTGTCTAGTATCTGGTTGGCAAATTTTTGATTTTGCGTTTGAGGTGTTTTTTCATGGAAGAGTTGATTTTTCGAGAAAAAATATTAGATTTAAAATATTAAATTCGAAAAGGATCACTTTTTTATTTCCTTAGATTTGAAATTATAAAATTCTTTCAATCGAACTATAACGCCCTTTAAAGTACATTTTATGGTGTGAATTCATCGAAAAATACCCTCATTTTTCTCTTGAAGTTAATATTTAATAAACAGGCGGTTTAGTATATACAGGCTGAATTAATATATTTTGATACTCCACCTCAGCTATGTTATGAAAGCTTCAAGAGAATCAAACAAGGTATAGGCATAGATTGTATAGGTAAAGAATTTTATACAGGGTGTATCTAAATAACACCCATGAAAAATCATTTTTCTATATTCATTTCTCAATTGTCTCTTCATCAATTTCAATAAAACGTTGTGATCTTGTTAATAGTAATGTGGAGCTGCGATTAGATTCGAAATAATATTTCCAGGGGCGTCACAGTGGGTAAATTTATCGATATTCATGGTGAATGTCAATGTATACCATTTCATATTTTGATTAGATTGAACTATTACTATTGTAATAGAATTTTTTTTATCCTCCGTGTGATTTTTGTATCTAGCTTAGTTTTTGGAGAAACAATAAAAATTCGATTTGACTTCAAATTTTGTTGTAGGTGTCCATTGAGATTACTCAATAACCCCAATTAGAATCATTTTGAAAATTTGGGGATTTCTCAGTCTCCATCCATACTGAATTTTGGCACCATGATAGCTTATACAGAAGGGTTATAAATAAAAACAATTAATACTTCCAACTTCAACATCCTGTATCTCAAAAACGGAGCAGGTTAGGACCCCTCGAATTTTTCCGGTGTTATTAAGATACACCCTGTTTATTCATTAGATGAATCGAGAAAAAATAGGGATACAATTTATTGAGAAACCGAAGTTGAGAGTGATTTCTATATCGTGATAGTGAATTGTGTGAATTTGACATGAGGTTGACTTATGGTCTTGGACATATTTGGTTCACCCGCGGTTTATTTGAATTCTGGATGATGAGATCTCGAAGAACATGTGGAAAGTAATAGGGTGTTCAATTTGAGATAGTGTAACGATTGAGTCTGATATTGATTTGAATACTGTCAAAAACAAAGTAAGTAATAGTGATAGTACATCGTTTTATCAGGATGAAAAGTCACACTTTGTTTGACTTGACAGCATAATTATTTGATCAGAATGAAGTAAAATATTCAAGTAGCTGTCAGCTGACTATGTTTCAGTTCCTAATAGTTATAAACTCCAACTTAAGCTCCTGGACACTAAAAGTGTTGCCTAACAACAAACAACATACATTCCATATATAACATCAACTTCAAGAGCTAAGTTTGAGAAGAAAATTGACAACTTTCAAGTTTGCTGCGCGAAAAATATATATTTCCACAAATGGGCTTATATCACAAAAACATTTTATTTCATAATTCGATAGAACTCACCCAAACTAGCTCACCACCGCAAACTGTTTCTTGCTGTGAGCTCCCTACGTTTTATAAACAATTATTGAAATCCCCGATTTTTCGGACCTCTGAAAACGAGGCGATGATGTGACGTCAAAACCCTAATACTGAAACAAGACTATTCCAGCCAGAGATGAATGATACATGATTTCTGACAGAGTGAATTAGCGCGAGATCACAGTTGAAAGAATTAATATATCAGTTGCCGTAGTACGAAGGCGCTGAAGGGCCACCTATACTTTTTTTTTTCGAATCCCGACTTTAAAGTCGGACCCCCGACTTTAAAGTCGGGGGTCCGAGATTAAAGTCGGGGGTCCGACTTTAAAGTCGGGGGTCCGAGATTAAAGTCGGGGGTCCGACTTTAAAGTCGGGGGTCCGAGATCAAAGTCGGGGGTCCGACTTTAAAGTCGGGGGTCCGAGATTAAAGTCGGGGGTCCGACTTTAAAGTCGGGGGTCCGAGATTAAAGTCGGGGGTCCGAGATTAAAGTCGGGAGTCCGAAACTGAAGTTAGGAGCTAGATTATATTCTTTAAATATGTGGACAGAAATGAATATTTTCCATTGTTACTCATCAGTTTGATGTCAGCAACATGCTCCTGAATTTTCTACATGTACTCGAGAAACACCCTGTACGTTTATGTACAAACAATAATTTTACATCCATTGGATAATCATCACATAAGGATCAGTCAAAATCCTCCCTTTTGGATGTACACTGAATGTCAAATAATGGATCACACCTGTACGATCATTATCGTACGTATAGGGTGATTGTATATATTCCACTTCATAGCTGAGAATCTCATTTGTTTGTTTAAAGGGTGCAAAAAGATTACAATACAAAACATATATTTTCACAAATGAACTACCCTCAATGTCATTTCGTCCTTGGGTAGAGCTCAGAAAGATGAGTTTAATGATATATGATTACATTTGTAGGTATGAGATCACCCCTTCCGGACTATTTTCATAATCTTCTTCAATAAATAGCCAAATTTCTAAGCCTTATGAAAACGTTGAGAATCAAGTTTTCAATGCGCAGTTTTCATTATGAATTAACTGATTATACAGGGTGGTCCACGGTGGATGGCCTATTAGAAGTATCTGGAGAACGAAAAAACAGAACATTCTGAAAATTGGGATACTTTGATAATTGAACATTTTCTATCCCACTAGAATATTTTCATCGATACAGTGTTGCCACTTCTATAAGAAACAACTAGCAACTTCGCTATTTTGAATGGAGCACCCTGTATTCTATTGCATTATTAGATTCCTCCTGAAGAGCTGATTTCATCAATCTTGGGATCTAGCAGGAATGATTACAGAGATATATGATGTTCAAAATCGAGATTTTTTAATTTCAGGATTTTTTGTGTCGAAACTATTCATTATCGATCGAAACGACTAACATGTCCCTATCTTAACTTTTGATTCACTAAATACTGGAATTTAATTGGAACAAATACAGGGTGCTTCAAGATTCAGAATTCTGATCACCCTGTATCTGTTCCAATTAAATGTCAGTAGATAGTGAATCAAAAGTTAAGATAGGGACATGTCCGTTTTGATCGATAATGAATAGTTTCGACACAAAAAAATCCTGAAATTCAAAATTCTAGATTTTGAACACCCTATATCTCTGTAATAATTCCTGCTAGACCACAAGTGTGATGCATCGATGAAATCAGCTCTTCATGAAGGATCTAAAAATGCAATAAAATACAGGGTGCTCCATTCAAAATAGCGAAGTTGCTAGTTGTTTCTGATAGAAGTGGTAACACTGTATTGATGAAAATATCTTAGACGGATAGAAAATGTTCAATTATCGAAGAATCCCAATTTTCAGAATGTTCTGTCTTTTCGATCTCCAGATACTTCTAATAGGCCATCCACTGTGGATCACCCTGTATATGTTATATTGATATTTTGTCAATATTGAGGATATTCGAATTAAACAAAAGTGATGACTTATTTTGCAAACCGATCATCTTCTCGGAATTTTCGAATGTATTCAATTTCATTCTTGGATAGAGCAAAGAAAGACGAATTCAATGATATATGATATCATAGAATGGGTCTGAGAACACCCGT